CCAGCCCAGCCCAGCTGTATCCCAGCTGGAGTGCCCTCAGTGCTCAGGAGGCTCTTGTGGGGGCCAGGGGCTGTTCCCCACTCCAGGACCCTGGGGGACCCCAACTTCAGCCCCAGGGTGGCCATGCCACCCCATTCCCCCACTGCTGGTTCCTCCCCCTCCTAAGCAATGAGTGCTTATTTAAGTGTTTTATTTAAGCCCCCACCTGGCCTGTATCCCCCCCACCCCAATTCTCCCAAGCTATTTCCTTATCCCTTACAACAGGAGCCCACCCCTTGCCCTGACCAGGGTGCAGCACCCAGGGCTGCTCCCCATGCAGGACTGGGGTGCCCCTGGGATTTCCTTCCCACAGCACCCACCCTCCCACCCCCTGATCCCCCCTTCCCTGCACCCCCAGCACTGGGGGGGTTTGCTCAGCCCCTGGCACCCAGGGGTGCTGGCCCAGCCCCACCCCACACCCCGGGTTTGGTCTATGGCGCCGCAGGTCCCGGCCCCAGAGAGAGGATGAGGACAGAGCTGTGGCTTGGGTAACTTTTTTAATAGAAAGGCTCTTCTTACATGGTCTATTTTCTCAATACGGGTCATAATTGCTGTATTTTTTATCAGTGCTGATTTCCATACAGCTCCCAGCATGTGTGTCAAATCTCATCGGGCCAATAATAAAGTTTTTAAAATATCTTAAGCCGTTTCCTGCCCCGATCATTGCCCAGCACCCAGGATGGAGGCAGCTCGGGAGGGTCCCAGCCACGCTCCAGGGCCAGGCAGGAGCCTCTGGCCTGGGAAAACGCTGCAGGAGGGAGGGCTGGGGGAGGTTGAATTGCTCATAAATTACTTTTTCTCATAAAAAATTATTTCAGGTTACGTCTTACAGGTGCCACCGAGCCAGGAGGTGCAGCGAAGCCCCCGGGGGCTGGCTGGAGCCAGGGTGGCAGCTTGGGGGGCCCAGGGGACAGCCCCTGGCACGGGGGTGGAAGAGGACACCGCAGTGGCCAAGGGGAGCCCAGGCCTGTCCCCACCCCGGGCTGTGACCCCCAGCCCTCTCCCACCCACTGCCCCAGCCCCCGGCAGAGCCCTGTCCCTCACCCCTGCCCCATCCGCCCCCCAGCCATCTGCTCCAGCCCTGGGAGAGGAAGAGGAGGCACATCCTGGAGCTGGGAGCCCTTGTGCAGAGCTGGAGCCTGGGCAGTCACAGGTGAAGCTGTTTTCCTGCAGTGGAGCTGGAGAAACCCATCAGAGGGGACACAGGAGAGATGAGCCACCACGTCCGACTGGGACCGAGCCCCGTGAGCCGGGGACACTCCGTGCCCTCCCCAGTGCCCAGCCAAGCACCCCCTGCCCGGGCTGTGGGCACCAGGACATGCTGCACCAGTGATCAGAGAGTGCAAAAGGACAGATACAACGGAAAAAGCAAAAACTCTGTTTGGGTTCGAGCCCTCAGCCATGGGAGACACGGTTCCTGCCTGGAAACCTCTTCTCCCTGTTTGTGGAGCAAGGATGTGACCCTGGTCACTCAGGAGCTGCGGGAAGGGCTGTGGGAGCCACCTTGCTCGTGGGCACCCCCAGCAGTAAGCTTAGCAAGTGTGTGTGTATATATATTTATATATATTTATCTCTATCTCTCTCTCATGCAGCCCTACGAATAGAGGAAGAGCAAACAGCCAAGCAAGAGGTCCGGATGGGAGCTCCTGTCTGCAGGGAGCAGGGGCACCCCAAGGCTCACTCCCACACTGCCCTGCCTCCAGCAGTGGTTTTATCCTAGCTTATATTTTACAGCAGTACCGTAATTCCCTACAGCACCCCGAGCCCTGGCACAGCAGGAGCTCTGGGAGCGGAGCTGACCCCGTCCCAGCGGGGGCTGCAGTGCTGGCACCCCCTGCCCTGTCCCAGCCCGGGCCATGGCGTGGGCAGCGGGGTCTGGTGGGAGCCTGGGAGCTGCCTGTGCCACCCACCGTGCCTTGGCTTGCCCAGGGTGTCCTGCCTGGCCTGGGGGTGTCCCCGTGTCCTGCCTGGCCTGGGGGTCCCTCTCGTCTGGGCAGGGGGACCGTGCCCTCTCTGCCTTGCTGCCTCCTGAGCACCGTGAGCCCACGGAGAGTTGTTCTCCAGCTGAGCTCATTTCCCCACCCACAGCAAGCTGCTGCTGGGCCTGGGAGCCAGCCCAGCTCTGGGACACGCTGCCCTGACTCCGGGAAGTGCCACCGCACTCAGCACAGGCAGGGGACAGGTGACACGGCAGCGCTGTGACCCCCTGCCACCGAGGGAGGCTAGAGAAGAGAGAACTAGGGCACTAGCTTGAGCCTTTGGCTTTCAAAGCAGCAGGATTAATAAATTCCGCCTAGAAATGGAGTCCTGGGAAGCTGGACATGCAGCAGCGAGGAGGAGGAGGAGGAGGAGGAGGATGAGGAGGTGGCGAGTGCCACGCGGTGCCAGCGCTCCCGGATCAGCTGATGAGCGGGGCCGAGCGGTCGTTTGTCACCGTTGGCTTCAGCTGGACGTTGGCAAAGGGGTTCCTGTGGAGGAAGAGGAAGAGGAAGGAAGAGTTAACAGGGTGTGGAGGCCTGGAGAGGACAGGGCACCGGCACAGCGAGCGAGACTGGCGAGACCCCAGAACCAGCAGCGTTTGGAGAGGGCTTAAACTGGAAAAGCTCTGCCTTGTGGAGCCCCCAGCCCAGCTGCCCCCACTCCTCAGCTGTCCCCACTCCCTGAGCTGCCCCCACAACTCTGCTCCTCTCCCAGCTAAGCCGTGGTGGGTCAGAGATGGGCCGAGCCCAGCTGCAGGGGGATGTTCTCCTACCTCGCTCTCCTCCAGCCTAAAGCTGGAGATGCCAGGGGGGCCAGGGCTGATGAAGCTGCTCCAGCCTCCTCCAAGGCTGGATTCCAGCAGTTCCCACAGGTGGGAGCACTGTGGGATCACCCAGCCCTAGAGCAGGGGGTTATGGCTTCACTCCTGGCCGAGGGCAGAGCTGGCAGCTCCCTGCAGAGCCCTTGTGCTGCCTCTGGGGAAGTTAATATCCAAGAGGAAGAGTGTGGGAGACTAAGGACAGCTGGATGAGCTTGTCAGAGTCCAGAGCCCAGACTGGCTGACCTTGGGTTTCACCTACCTGGGGTGTCCCCAGCACCCTCCTGCTGCCATCGTCACCTGGCCAGGTCAGGGTGCAAGGATTCCCTTGGCATGGGGATCATCCTTACCCCTTCCCCAGGAGGGCCCCTCTGTCCACTCCCAGCCGGAGTTAATTCCCAGGGGGTGTGGGCAGCTCTGGGGTCCCTCTGGCTGCCTGGGGAGCCACCAAGCACCCCCTGGCCTCCCTGCAGCCCCTCTGTCTCATCTGCCCACTGCCCCCAGCCCTCCCCAGGAGCCACACAATCCTTCTGTGCCCAGTGGGAGCAATGGCCACAGCTCCCCATGCCAGGTCCCACAGCTGGGCCTCGGCTGGACACCCACCGTGGGGGCACAGCCCTGCTACCTCTGATGTGAGTTCAGGTAAAGTGCTGTGGTTACCATGTGCACCTGCACCGAGCAGCTTTGGGATGTCCCCAGAAGCTTTGGGATGTCCCCAACCATCTCCCAGAGCAGAAGGAAGATGCTGGAACCTGCGCCCCTCTGGGACAGGGTCTCACTGTCAGCCCCAGGCCCCAACTCTGCCATCCCTCAGCTCTCCACATTCGCTTTTTCTTTCCTTAAAAGATAAATGACTTTTGCTTAAAAATAGGGTAATTAATTTCACACCTAATTAATGCAGCTGCTTAGATCACTTTCCCTCCCAAGATGCCAAAATAGATTCTAGGACTGGAGGGAGAGGAAAAGTTGCTTTGATGAGTCACCCGGGGCTCATTTAACTCTTTCTGTACTGGCTGAGAAGAGCCACTGGGATGGAGCCCGCAGCTCCAGGGAAAGCAGCTCATGGATCAAAGAGAAACGGGGAAGGAGCTCTCCAGGCTCTGCAGTGCCAGCGAGGAGGAGGCTCTCGATTCCTGGGGAGGCTCCTGCGTCCCATCCCCAGGGCCAGGACCAGGAGCCTCCTGGGACGAGTCTACAACAAAAAAAGCTGCTCAAAAAACCTGCGGTTAGTGCGGGCAGGGCTGGGGCCGGCGGACACCTACAACCAAAGAGCCGGTTACGGGCAGAGGGGGCAGAGCAGCTCAGCATCCCGGCAAGCGCAGCAGCCACGGCAGCGGGGCGAGCAGCACAGGCAGCCGGGGAGCCCCGGAGCTCGGGGACAAGCGGTGGTGACGCAGGGAGGGGACGGCGAGGCGGGAAGCAGAGCGGTGGCACCGTCCCCGCGCAGCCCCGCGGCCTCACCCGCTGCCCAGCGCACCCAGGGCTCGGCCCCGCGACGCCGTCACTTACTAACTACGGGCAGGGCCACCTCAAAACCTGGCCACTTCAACATCGGGGCTGCAAGGGAAACAGAAGGCAGGTTGGAGGACGCCGGGACGCTTGATGGGAACAGAAGGTCGTGGTTAAGGAGAGACTTAAGGCCACGAGCCGGCCGGTGGCCCGAGAGCCCGCTGGCCACCCCGCACGCAGCGCCGGCAGGCAGAGGAAACAGGAGGAAAAAGAAGAAAAAGGAGGAAAAGTGGTGTTTATTGAGTCGCTGGTGCTGTGAGGAGGGGAAGGAAGGGCACGGCCAGCTGGGAGCTGTGGGAGTGCGGCGGCCGGGCACGGCGGGGGCTGCGGAAGGGAGGGGGCGGCTTCCTTCCCCCCTCTGTGCCGGCCACCGCCGCTTTCCCAGCGCCGGGAAAGCGCAGCCGGAGCCTTGGCATGCGGGAGCAGGGGCAGCATCACCCCTGGGATGCTCAGCGAGGGGGAGCCGGCCCTAAAGCAGCTGTCGCTGCTCCCGCTCAGCGAAGCTGTTTAGTGCCAGCAGGGCTGAGCGCGCACAGGCAGCGTCCCCAGGGACAGAGCGGGGAACAAAAACACGGCCTGGGAACGCGCGGTGGGCGATGCGGGCGGTGAGGGCAGCACGCAGGCACGGCAGCCGAAAAAGACACCGAGGCCCAGCTCAATGCAATAAATAAAACTTTTATTCAAACAATAACTCAGTACAGGGCACAATTCTCTCTGGCTTTTAAAAAAAGGTTTTTTCAGCACTTTACAATCTCCACACAGGCTTTGCTAGGCTGGGTTTGTGTTTTTTGTGGTTTGTTTTTTTCCCCCTCTACATTCAGTCATTCATCGTGAAATATCCTGGGTTAAAAATCCTTAGCAAAATTCGGACATCGATGCAGGAGGGGCTCAGAACAGTGTGCCCGGAGGCGAGGAGATAACCCAAAAACTGGTCCAGGGGGTGGGAGGGGGAGGTCTATTGCCAGCAATGTCCCAGTAAACAGGCAATGTCAGAGGTCTTAAAAATCACATCAGAAAAAAGCGTGAACAGCTTTGCAGTGGTGACGGCCACGGGCACTGGGAGGGCTACGGCCGGGCTAGTGTGGAGCGGGACCCCCAGAGTGGGCTGGGAGCCCCCCGGGCACTGCCGGGGCTGCCTCGCTCCAGCCTGGCTTGGGCACACGAGCAGCCCTCGGAGCCCCAGCCCTAGCGTGAGGTAACAATACCTTGCTACAAAAAATATATATATATATATATTTATAAAACAACCAGGAGTAACCCTTCCGGGGGGGTTCCCGCAGCCGGCGGGACCCCAGCCCAGAAGCAGCCCTTTCCCCGGGGCGGGAGCTCTGTGCCATCCGCTTCTCCCAAGGGATGGAAGCGGATCGGGCCCAGGGGGAGGCGCGGGGACGCTGCCCCCCCTCCGGGAACGGCATCCCGGGCGCGGGCATCCCGGATGCTCAGTAACAGTACGGACACCAGAGGCCATGCATATGTGATCCAGTCTGGGAGTTTGGTCCAGGCTCGTGCGGGGCGGCCGGCGCGGCCCCTGGGGGGGACAGTGCATTGCTAACATCACACGGGAGGACAAACACCGGGTCCCACTAAGTGACAACTGCGCCCGGGCTGTGAGCACAGACCTGGCGGCAGTTTCTGCTCCAAAAAGGCTTCAGAAACAAGGGCACTGTGAACACCGGGGAGGGGTGAGAAGCACCATGGTTTCCTTGAAGATCACAAGAGTTTCAAATCCAAAAGAAGTAGAGAAAGAGAAACGAAAGGGAAGGAAAAAAAAAGGGGGGGGAAAAGAAGCAGAAAGCTCTTCCAAGCAGCAAGGGGCCGCTGCGAGCCCAGGTGTCCTCACACCGTTGATACCAAACTGCCACTGCCGCTGCGGAACAAAGCACAGAGATGCCAGAGTGGCCGAGGGCAGCACCGAGCTCACGGCACCGCGGGCGGGACCCTGCACGGCCACGGGCTCCACCCAGCCCCAGGAGCGAGACAGGGCAGCTCCGAGGCACAGGGGATGGATGGAGAAGGTGCTGGGGAAAGGCCCGGGAGCCCAGGCTCTCTGTGGCTTCCCTATCCAGGCGTGAGCCAGGAGGAGGGTGGGAGACGCAACTCTCTGGAGGAGCACGAGCTTGGGGACACCAGGCTGGCCCTGGGACCTGCCCTCCCTGGGTCCCCCCATCTCACAGATGAGACCTGGCCCCATCCCAGCCACTGCCAGTCCCCGGGGAGCCCATGCAGGGACCCCTGTGGGGACACAGCCCCACGACTTCGCCCACAGCCAACACCAACAGTTCGCAGGGAATGTGACAGCAAGGTGACATCTTACCTGTTGACGGACCTCGTCCCGTAGTCATCGAGACCCTGTGGGGAGGAGAGGAGGAAGCACAGTGAGGGACCTGTGGGCTGTTTGCTCAGGTGCCACTGGAGGGTCACACGGACAAACCAAAGTGCATCAGGACCCAGGGCCGAGAGCTGATGCATTTGGAGAGGAAAAGGAGATATGGAGATGATTGGAGTGGGATTCAGACAGCAGGGAGTGAAGCTCCACCACTCCCTGGAGGATTTATCTGGCCAGACATGGAAAAGTGACTGCTGGGAGAGCCCTGCTCTGCTCTGCCCAGCCCCTGTGAGGAACAGAGCTCTGGCTGCTGCTGAGACTGTTGGAAAGGGGCTGCACGACTGAGAGACACCAGTGAAATGTTCTGTGGAAAGAGGGGTTGCCTGTATTCACTCCCACCAGAAACCCACAGGGTTTTGGACCATTTTCTCCTTTGGCCGGTGCTGAGCAGGCTTTGCAGGGGGGGACTGAGGGGCAGGTGGGGATCAGGCCTGGAGAACATCCCTCAAGGACATCTCTCCTTGAGCAAGGGCCTGCCCTGGGATACGATGGGAGCAGCTCTGCTCTCCATGACCAACATGGAGAAAGCTCCAGGAAAGAGGGGGAGTCTCTGGCCTCTGAGCTGGCCATGCACCAGCAACCAGAGACCCACATTCCCACCTTCCCAGGAATGCTCCCAGTCCCAAAATACCAACCCCAGCAGCAAATCCTGCTGGAAAACCCCAGCAAAACAGCAAGAAGTGGGACTTTGCTTCCACCCCAGTCCCTGCAGAGAGGACCAGATCCCATCTGACCTGCCCTGGGAAGGGTTGGTGCTGACTGCCCTTCTCTCTCCCTCCTCATCCTCTCCCCTCTGCCAGCACGTGATGCCAGCATGGCTCATCCCACTGTGCACATTGTGGAGGGAGAACTCCCCTACACCAGTAGCTCCTGGGTTACCCTGATCTCATCTGCTGTGCATCCTCCCTGGCTTGTTATCCAAGAAGCCCTGGGCTTGCTTTGGACACTCTGCAATCCTGTCCAGGATCTGCCCCAGTGTCCCCATGGGACTGTCACCGGCTTGAAGTGGCACATGCCAGAGAAAACACCTCCAGCTGCCTGTGAGCAGCCTGTTTCTGGTGGGAGACTCCCATGGAGTCGGCAAGTGTTGTCCTTTGGGGGTTTACGGGGCCATTTTGTGCCACTGCCCCCCGTGCCTTGCCTGTTCCTCCCCATCCATGGGCTCCCTGCATCCCTTCACCCCAGCAGAGGTGCTGGGCAGGAGCAGGTCCAGGCAAGGCACGCGGATCACCAGGCACAAAACAGCCAAACTTCCATAAATCCCAAGGGAAACATTGCAAGCGTCGGACTTACAGCTGTCGACCTAGTGTAAGGCTTGTAGTGAGCGGAGGGTGCTTGGCAGAGGCCACTGGAATAGTCTTTAATTGCACACCCATAGGGCATTAGGTAGTCCTAAAACAACGAACAGAGGTTGGAGAGCTGCCCTGGCACCCCCAGGCATCCGCAGCGCCGGCACCGGGAGCGCTCCCGCTCACCCCAGCCCATCCCAGGGGGACAGGGAGCTGAGAACCCCGGCCAGCGCAGCAGGGACAGTGCCCAGGGATCTGTCCAGCATCCCCCAGGGCTCAAACACCCCCCAGAGTGGGAGAAGCTGGCAGGAGAGGCTCACCTGGGAGAAGGCGGGCACGGCCACGCTGTAGGGCCGCTGCTTGAAGGTGTTGCTGCCCTGTGTTGGGAAGGCCTGGGAGGCCATGCCATAGTCTGGTGGCGGGATGGAGATGTCATCCTTGTCCAGCAGGTTGCCAGTGCTGCTGCTCTTCCCTTGCTGCAGGCTGGGGGGCCCAGGGCAGAGGTGTCAGCTCCGTGCAGAGACCCCCAGGCCACCCATCTGCAGAGACCCCCAGGCCACCTATCCGCCATCCGCTCATGGCATCCACCCAGAGCCAGCAACCACCCCACTGTGCTGTTATTCCAAAGGAATTCCTAATTCCCATCCCAAGGACACCCTGTCACCCCACACGATGCTCCTACCTGGTGTGGACCCGCTCGCTGCCATCATTGTCAAGGACCCGTGTGTAGGAGAAAGGAAACCAGCCCCTCCTGAAAGGCAAAGGGGGCATGAAGTCAAACCCAGGTTTGTCCCAGATGAGGCTGCTCCCCAGGACAGCCAGCTCACTCACATTTTGGTTTTCTCGCTCTCTCCGTAGTGCCAGCCGTCGCGGGCCTCGGGCACCAGCAGGGTGATGAGGTCTCCCTCCTTGAAGCTCAGGAGGGTGCTGTTATCCCCGGCAGCGTGAGAGAAAATCGCCTGCACCCTCGTCCGGCCGTTCCTCTCGAGCCCGGCGGCCATGGAGCTGGAGCGTGGCAGTGTCTTGTTTTCAGCTGGGGGAACAGACACCAGTGGGTGCCCCGAATCCTTCACCCCATCCCCAGGCACAGGACAGGTCCCCACCCCTCCTTATTTCAGCCCAGGTTGTGGTTGTACTACAGCCTTCAGTGTGACTCACACCTTCCCCCTCACCGAGCACGATCAGGCTCCCGGCATCACCCACCAGCCATGACAAAGGGAGCAGGCTCCCTGTGCCACATTCCACAAGATTTTCCTTCTGGAAATCCTGTGAAACCCCAGGGCAGAGCCCAGCTCCAGCATTTCCTAACGCCCAGCTCAGGAGGCACAAGCAGCACTGGACACCAAAGGGATGGCGTGGTCACTGTCCCCCCACCAGCAGCACCCCCAAGAACCATCCCCACCCTGGGGCTCCCTGTGGGCACTGGGTCCAGCAGAGGCAGCTCCAGGGCCCTGGCAGCGGGGCTGGGGCCTCACCTGAGGCGTAGCTGTTTTTCGGTGCCACGTTTTTGCGAACTGGGAGTGTATTGGAGTAAGAGTCACTCAGCTGCTTCTGAGGCTGGGGAGGAGATAAAGATTTGGGCTGTGCTGGCTTCATCTCAGACCAGTGGTTGTACCCGTCGCTGTCAGAGCCCGAGACTCCGTTCATCACCGGCATGGCCTCCTGTGCCGACATGCGCTGCGAGAGAGGAGGGGAGGGGGACACGGAGGGCTTCCTTAGGGCATCCCTGCAGCTCCAGGAACATCCCTGCAGCTCCAGGGACAGCCCTGCAGCTCCAGAAACAGCCCTGCAGCTCCAGGAACATCCCTGCAGCGCCAGGGACATCCCTGCAGCTCCAGGAACATCCCTGCAGCTCCAGAAACATCCCTGCAGCGCCAGGAACAGCCCTGCAGCTCCAGGAACATCCCTGCAGCGCCAGGAACATCCCTGCAGCTCCAGGAACATCCCTGCAGCTCCAGGGACAGCCCTGCAGCTCCAGGAACATCCCTGCAGCACCAGGAACATCCCTACAGCTCCAGGAACATCCCTGCAGTGCCAGGAACATCCCTGCAGCACCAGGAACATCCCTACAGCTCCAGGAACAGCTCTGCAGCTCCAGGAACATCCCTGCAGCGCCAGGAACATCCCTGCAGCTCCAGGGACAGCCCTGCAGCTCCAGGAACATCCCTGCAGCTCCAGGAACATCCCTGCAGCGCCAGGGACAGCCCTGCAGCGCCAGGGACAGCGCTGCAGCTCCAGGGAAATCCCACTGCAGCTCCAGGGACATCCCTGCAGCACCAGGAACATCCCTGCAGCTCCAGGAACATCCCTGCAGCGCCAGGGACAGCCCTGCAGCTCCAGGAACATCCCTGCAGCGCCAGGGCAATCCCACTGCAGTTCCAGGGAAATCCCAGTGCAGCTCCAGGGCAATCCCACTGCAGCTCTAGGAACATCCCTGCAGCTCCAGGGAAATCCCACTGCAGCTTCAGGAACATCCCTTTAGCTCCAGGGCAGTCCCCCTGCAGCTCCAGGAACATCCCCCTGCAGCTCCAGGGAAATCCCAGTGCAGCTCCCCAGTGGGACACAGCTCCAGGGACAGAGGCAAATTGGAGCTTTGTCCCATTGGGTTTAGTTCCCAGCCAAACCAAACTGCTCTGGGGCAGCAGTGGGGTCTCCTCTATGGTATCTTACTGCTCTGAGCTCCCCTGGACCTGCCAATTCCCTGCTGAGCTCTGTGCTCAGCTCGTGTCCCCACATCAGTGGGACACCCTCTTCTGAAGGGTCCTTCATCCCACGGGTCATTCCAGACCTTCCCCTGCAGTTACTGGGGTACCTGGGTTCAGTCCCACAGCTTGGGGACCAGCCTGGACAGGCAGGTCCAGCTCCTGGGTTCCCCAACAGAGCCTGGGAGCCCCTGCTCTGCCAGAGCTCAGTGGGATGGGGTGGGACAGGCTGCCCGTGCCCAGGTCAGGCTCCTCCCCACAACCCAGGATGGCCCAGAGCTGCCATCCCTGCCATCAGTGACAGCCCATCCAAGGACAACTTGCCGAGGACAGCGGTGACACCGGCCCGGGCTCGTCCCTCCGGCTTTGCTCAGAGGGCAGGGCAGCTCCGGCACAGGGATACTTACTCCTACAAAAGGTGCCAGCTCCGGGGGGACAGGGAGAGGTTTGGCACCAGGGATGGGATCAGAGATGATGAGGTTGGACTTGGATGTGGACAGAGGGCTGGGCATGATGGTGCCATTGCTGCTGGCAGCCATCTGCTGCATCAGCTGGATGGCGCGCTCCGGGATCTTGTTGGGGTCCGAGCAGGATTGCTGCCACAGCGGCAGCTTCTGCGTCAGCATCTCCTTCCCCTGCAAGAGCAAAACCAGGAGTGAGGGCACAGGGGTGCAGCTGGTGTGCCCCCCTTCCCTGGGCAGCACCACACGGAGCCAGGGCTGAGCTGGGACTGATCGATGGTTCTGTGCGTGGCACAGGCAAGGTAACACCCAGGGATGTGCTGCTTCCAGGCTCTGGTGGCACCAGAGCCAGGCAGGAATCATGAAAAATGGGAACGAGGGAAGGGAAAGGTAATCCAATCTCTCCCCATCAAGATATCCTATGTGCAGCATGTCCAGGCCGCAGGGAGCTGGGCCCCATGTGGAGCAGAGAAATAAAACCAGGCTGAAACCCTGGCAGGGCACAGCCCATGCTCCAGGCTGTCCCCACATCCCCAGGGAGGAGCTGCTTCCTTGGGGTGCTCAGCCCCAGCAGCCTCCAGGCCCCTGTGCTCCATCCCAGCCCCACTGCTCCCTGCCTGCAGTACCATGCTCCAAGGGGGAAACAGGTGGAGCCAAACTTGTCCTGATTCACCCAGAATGTACCAGCACTTCCCCTTGTGTGACTCAGAGGGGGAAGATGCCCCAGCCCCCTCGAGGTCACTCCCAAGGGTGACCCGATGCCTCTGCTCTGCCTCATCTGGAGACGAAATGTGGTTCTGCATATCAACCCCCTCTAAATCCAATTTCAAAGTCCCTGCATATTTCCCCAACACCAGCCAGCGGGTCCAGCCTCATGATCCTGTGGAGCATCCTGCAGGAGCCACGGGCAGCAGCAGGGTTAGGGTTAGAGTTAGAGTTAGGGTTATGGAGTTTTGAGCAGGACACACCACACTCTGGACAAGCCACCAGCCAAGTCCCTCCTGCAAAATCAGCCTGTGTGTGCTGCTGCAGCAAGGTTTTGGTCGGTTCCTGCAGGCCACCAGCCCTGGGAGGTGCTGCACTCCAGGAGGTTTTCCCTTCCTGCACTCTGCTCGCCAATCCAAGCGTGGATCCGTGCTGTGGATGTGCCAGGACAGAGCTGACTAATGCCAGCTCCCTCTCCTGCTCCAGTGCCAAGCGTGGTGGTGACAGATGGCTGCTGTGAGCCACGGAGGGCGGAGCTGGGGAACAACCAGAACGGAGCACGAGGCTGCAGGAGCAGCACCAGCCCCTGTCTGGGTGGATCCTGCTCCATGCAGCTGCTGCAGCTCCCCAGGCGGGCAGGGGCAGCTCCAGCCCTGCTCCAGGGGGCAGCCATGGGCAGGAGGGATTTGAAGCAGCTGCTCCTGGTGGGGCACCTTCCCTGGAGTCACCTGCTGGTCACCACCCCCTCGTTCCCTGAGTCTGTCCCTGGGTGTGTGTGTGTCCCTCTGTGTGTGTGTGTGTGTGTCCCTGTGTGTGTCCCTGTGTGTGTCCCTGTGTGCGTGTGTCCCTGTGTCTGTCCCTGTGTGAGTGTCCCTGTGTGCGTCCCTGTGTGTCTGTCTCTGTGTGTCCATCCCCGTGTGTGTCCCTGTCTGTCCCTGTGTGTGTATCCCTTTGTCTGTCCCTGTGTTTGTGTCCCTGTGTCTGTCCCTGTGTGTGTGTCCCTGTGTGTGTGTCCCTGTGTCTGTCCCTCTGTGTGTGTAGGCGGGGCTGCACCAGCTGAGGCTTTTGGGATCCCAGGCTGTTCTATGGGGTGCAGCTCGAGCTGGGAGCACCCCCCCAGTGCCAGGGCAGCCAGCGTGGCTCTGGTGGTGCCACTCACTCACCTTGGCGTGGTAGGTGATGGCGCTCTTGGCCACTGCACACTGCTTCTCCACCAGGAAGCAGAAGCGTCTCCTCTCTTCTGTCAGAGCTGTCTTGTAGCCATCAGACACGTAGTTCTCCAGCTCCCCTTGCTTGTTGCTGATGGCTTCGATGTACTGCAAGAGAGAGAGGAGCAGGGAAGGGGCTGCTGGCAGTGCTGCAGGGCAGGGGGGCCAGGGAGAGGGGTGGAAGGGACCCAGGGACAGACACAGGGACAGGGACAGACATGGGACACACACACAGGGACAGACACAGGGACAGACACACACACATACACACAGGGACAGACACAGGGACAGGGATAGACACAGGACACACACACAGGGACAGACACACAGGACACACACACACACAGGGACAGACACAGGGACAGACACACGGGACACACACACACAGGGACAGACACAGGGACACACACATGGGACACACACACAGGGACAGACACACACACACACACAGGACAGACACAGGGACAGACACACACACATGGGACAGACACAGGGACAGACACACACACAGGACAGACACAGGGACAGACACACCCCCAGGGACACACACACAGGGACAGACACACACACAGGACAGACACAGGGACAGACACACCCCCAGGGACAGACACAGGGACACACACGTGTGCCTGCACACCCCCCCAGCCCCTTACTCATGGCAGCCCCCACGCAGAGCTGACTCAGCCGTGGGTGCCCAGCACGAGCTGTACCCGCAGCCCCCGCTCAGCACCGGGCACGGGGGTGCCCCGGGACTGGCAGGGGCTCCCTCAGCCCCCGGCTCAGCCTGGCACAAACCAGAGCAGATCCCAGCCTGTGCTGGCATCGCCCGGGAGGTGCCGGGTCCCTGCCCGCTGCTGAGGATGGCACGGGGACCTGTCACACACAGGGATGGCACGGGGACCTGTCACACACAGGGGTGCTGAGGGATGGCATGGGGATCCTGCCACACACAGGGATGGCATGGGGACCCTGCCACACACAGGGGTGCCAAGGGGACCCTGCCACACACAGGGGTGCCAAGGGGACCCTGCCTCACACAGGGGTGCTGAGGGATGGCATGGGGACCCTGCCACACACAGGGGTGCCAAGGGGACCCTGCCTCACACAGGGGTGCTGAGGGATGGCATGGGGACCCTGCCACACACAGGGGTGCTGAGGGGACCCTGCCACACACAGAGGTGCCAAGGGGACCCTGCCACACACAGGGGTGCTGAGGATGGCACAGGGACCCTGCCACACACAAGGCCCCTGCCACACACAGGGCCACCAGTGCCTCTGAAACTGCCAGCAGTGCCTTCAGCCTGTATTTACCACAGGGACACAGAGGGGCAGCTGGGCAGTGCCACACACTGGCACAGGATGCCCTGGGTGTTCCCAGGTGCCACAGCCTGGGCTGGCAGACACGGTGGCCCTGCCAGGCTGGCAGCTGGAGGCTCCTCTGCTGGCTCTGCTCTCCTGTGATGGTGCCAGCACGGCTGTGCCATGCTGGGCTCTGCCAGCGCCGCACCTGGCACGGCAGCAGCACACGGGGGAACCCCCAGCTGCTTTGCCCTGTGTGATGGAAAGGTGGCACAGGGGACCCCAGGGACAGCACCAGCCTCCCTGGACACAGAGGTGCCCCCAGCCCCCCGACCCGGCCACTTCATCCTCCCTTAATCCCTTTAATGCTCCCAGTTCCCACCCGCAATGGGGCACCAGGGGAGCAGCACCTCCTGCCCATCACTGTCCCACACTGTGACACCTCCCTGCCACCTCCTCTTCCCTGGGACAGCAGCACCACGACACTGGGAAGCCACAACAGCCCCAGCCCAGGCAGGGCTGGACCTGCTGCAGGCAGCCCAAGCTTCTCTGAGATGGGAATTAAAGTGGAAATTCAGGGCCCAGAGCAGCTTTGCTGCTTCTTCACGGTTATCAGTTATTTTTAGCATGCTACAATATTTATTAAGAGATACATAAAATGGAGCAAACCAACAAAAGCAGCAAGATTCAGTGACATCCCAGACTTCAAAGGGGGATTATTTTGGGGCTGGACCTGCTCCTGGCTCCCACCCTGCTCTGAGCACCCCCTGAGAGCAAAACCCAGCGCAGAGCTCGTGCCTGAGCCAGCAGCTTTTGGGTCTCCCCACATTGCACCAACATGGGTGAGGGAAAGAGCATCAGTGAGAAATGGATTAAAAACCCGTTTTGCAACCAGCAACCCTATTTCAAAGAGAATTTTTCCCACCAAAATGAGAAAATCTGGGGCGAATGCCTGTGGCCATGAGCAGGAATCAGCAAAGGGAGCTGAGCTGATGGCACTGGGCACACACAGGGGGAAGGGATGGAGGCTTTGGCCTCACCCCAAAGCAGAGGCACGGGGCATGGCACTCGGAATGCCAGGCAGCACCAGGCTGTGCCAGCACAGAGGTGCTGGGGCAGCGTGGCACAGGAGGAGGCACACAGAGCCCGAGGAGGAGGAGGAGGAGGAGGAGGAGGAGGAGGAGGAGGAGGAGGAGGAGGAGGAAGAGCTGGGGACAGCTCCTGCAGCAGCAGGCTAAGGACGGCAGCAGCCGCCTCCTCCCGGGTATTATTAGCCTGGAACAGCACAGGGACAGAGCCCAGAGGAGCAGCCTGGCAGTGGTGATGGGAGCTGGGGAGTGGTGCCCCAGTGCCAGCTCCAGTGCCAGCCTGCAGAGCCCCCAGCCCCAGTGCCAGCCCCAGTGCCAGCCTGCAGAGCCCCCAGCCCCTCCAGCTCAGCCCTGCTGTGCCTGGGATGGGCCAAGCCCTGCTACCCACACTCATCCATGGGCAGCTCCACGAGAAGGTTCTGCCCCAGGGGAAGGGGCAGCAGCTCCCTCTCCTGCAGAGCCCCACTTTTGGAAGGAAAGCACAACCCTGACAGCACCTGAAATAGCAGGAGCACACGCAGACCCCGACCCCCATTCATTGAATTAATTTAATTTTCCCCCACCATCCTGCCTAATTTACTAACTGGGCCACCGAGAAGGAGAAGGTGAGGCGTGGAAAGAGCTCAGCTCCAGCTAATTTGGCTCAGACTCCCCGCAGGATCCCCATGCCTGGGTCAGGCACAGCTCCAGCCCAGACACCACAGCAGGGACAAACCCTGATCCTGGCAGCGTGAGGGCTCCAGCTCCCAGCAGCATTTAAATCCACAGGTACAAGCCTTATTTACACCCCAGGCTGGTTGAGCCAGGCTGCTGCTGATTGCTGAGCCGAGGAAGGCTTGTCTCAGCCAGTCGGAACACGCCGCTCCGCAGCGCAGAGCCCACGCTCCAAACTTAGTACTCAGAGCTTTATATACCTCATGGAAATGTGCTCCTGAGCCATTGATTTACCCAGAGCCTGGTTTTACTCGCTGTTGCAGCACAAAATGGCGAGCCACGCTCCTTGTGCAGTTTGGGTTTGCTCAGAATGACAGTGGGCTTTCAGATAACGCCCAGGAATGGAAATTCAAATCCAAAGGCTGTTAAATGTGGCAGATGCACGGGGGGAAGGTAACACACAAAGCACAGCGTGAGATCTCGGGGCTGCACTCCAAGGAGAAGCTCTGCCTTGCCCAGGAGTGAGGCCTCACCTGCAGCCAGGTGCCCAGCAGGACCCCAGGGCTGCTGCTCTGGTCTCCATCCCCCAGAAATGGGGAAATCTCAGCCACCCCACACTGACCCACAGCCAAACCCCTCTGCAGCTTGGCATGCCCTGATCCCCTGAAGGGGCTTCTCTGCCAGCTCAGCAGCTTCTCCAAAACCCCCCTGACAAGCACAAACCACTCCAGCACTGTAAACTGAGGCTTTGACTGATTGAGGTTGTCAGCTTCAAACTCACACGCTAAGAATCGTCTGAATAAAAACCAAAATCCCCAGTTTGAAGGAGGAGAGAGAAACCCCATTGTGATCCGAGCAGGGCTGGTGGCTGTCCCCAAAGCCAGAGCACACCCCAGAGCCACCCAAGAGCTCCAGAAAATCTTTTCTGGGTTTCTAGGTTGGAGAGGCCTCAAATAACTCCCCCGTGCCGCGCCCCCCCTCCCGCATCCACTTCCAATTCAGCGGGAGCTGCTGACCTAATTAGCAGTGTCAGCACGTGGGGCACAGCCCTGGGCACTGGGAGCCTGCCAGGATGTGCCACGGGGCCAGGCTGGCAGAGCCTGGGCACCCCTGGGTACGGAGGGGCTCAGACAGAGACCCCCAGAGCGGGCACAGGAGCGGGGCTGGAGCCACAGAGGGCAGAGCCAGTGCCATCCCTGCCATGGTGGGCAGTGCCAAAGCCAAAGCCACTCCTGCCATGGTGAGCAGTGTCAAACCACCTTGCCATGGTGAGCTGTGCCATGGTGGGCTGTGCCATGGTGGGCAGTGCCTGTGCCAAAGCCACCCCTGCCATGGTGGGCAGTGCCTGTGCCATCCCTGCCATGGTGGGCAGTGCCAAAGCCAGGCCGAGTCACCCCATGGGTCAGACAGGAATTAGGAGCAGCAGATGAAAAGGGAACGAGCTGCTGCCAATTCCCAGCTCGGGCAGCCACTGATGTCCTGCACAGAAAGGCAGGGAGGGCACACAGGAAGGCACAGAGGGCACTCAGAAAGGAAGGCAGGGCACTCAGAAAGGCACAGAGGGCACACAGAAAGGCACAGAGGGCACACAGGAAGGCACAGAGGGCACTCAGAAGGGCAGGCAGGGCACACACAAAGGCACAGAGGGCACAGAGGGCACTCAGCCCTGGCACCTCCCCAAGGCCAGCACGGTGGCAGCTCAGGGCATGCAGATCAAGGAGCAGCTGAGGAATGTCGAGCCCCGAGCTGCAGGAGCACACGAGGGGCACACACGGCTGCCAGTGCAGGTGGAGCAGCTCCTGCCCAGCCTCTGATAAGCTCAGCCTGGCTGGGAAATGAGTTCAGAGCTCCCATCCCAGCCAGGAACGTGCAGACACGGGGAACACGAGCCAAGGGCTGAGCTCCACACAGAAATCATCACTCCAGGTCATTCCTGGTGTGTTTGGCACCCACCAGGCTGAGCCAGGGGCCAGCCCCAGGGACAAGAGGGGACCCGCAGCAGGCAGGAGCTGCCCTGGGGTCACCAGCACAGCACAGCCCCGAATTTGGGGGTCAGAAAGCCAAGGG